GGATCTTCATCAGTGAAGTGTAACAATCACAGTATAATTGCTAAAGGTCCTTCCAGCACTTATCTCATGTAATTCTATGAATATAAGTGTTGTGAGTATTCAAGAAGAGAGAAATAAACATGATCTGAGCTGAGTATAAAAGAGGGGTCTGTAGATGGTCTCTAAGTTTCGCCTTTAGTGTCAAAGGGGAAATTGACATGAATAGGCAGAGAGAGGGGGTTTGACAGGGTGAAGCCCCACTGAAGACAGAGAGAAAGGAAGGTCACAGTTACCAAGCTGTGCAATGTGCCAGGCCCATGCTAGTTGCTAAACTGGCATCATCTCCTTAAAAATCACGGAAGCCTTTCTTATCCTGACTTTACAGTTGAGGAACTGAAGTTCAGGAAGGTTTCTGGACCTGCCCAACATCATACAATTAGTTAGCAACAAAGTCAGGAACTGAATTCAGCATTGCCTCCATAAAAGTCTCTGGGGCTCCCTCACCCCAACCCTAGGGCTTAAGTTCCTTCTTAAACTCTAATCCTCAACTCCATCCCTGCGTGTGGGTTTCAGGAAGTGGTAAGGCTATGCCGCCTGTGCCAAGGTGTGTTGGGCTCAGTACGGCAGGCCATTGAGGAGCTGGAGGGAGCAGCAGAGCCAGAGGAAGAGGTATGAAATGAGATGGGACAGTGGGGGGATGGGATTGGGATGGGGCTGGGGTGGAGACTCTCTGGTGGAACGCCAACTGGCAACTGCTCCCTATCCCCAGGAGGCAGTGGGAATGCCCAAGCCCCTGCAGAAGGTGCTGGCAGATCCCCGGCTGACGGCACTGCAGAGGGATGGGGGGGCCATCCTGATGAGGCTGCGCTCCACTCACAGCAGCAAGTACGAGGGATGGGTGTGCGGGGGCAGGTGGAAGTGGGAGGTGGAGACACAGCCGAAGGCTGCCAACAAACCTTAGCTGCCAGACCATTCTTACTGTGCATGTATCTGGGCAAGATACCATGCTTTTACACTTACTGTCTCATAACCCTCACAACATCCTTGTGTGCCATTTACTATTACCAATGAGGATTTGGAGGATCAGAAATGTTAACTGTCTTGGCCAACATCGGTCAGTAAAGAGTCAGGATTCAAACCAAAGCAGTCAGGGTTCAGCCCATGCTTTTGATCCATGCTGCTATGCAGCTTCTCATGTTTGCATCCCTCGGAGGGATGGGAGGACAGAATTGAGGGGCTCAACAAAGGAAATGATTCATTCTTTCCTGCTCCTTCCCCAGACTGGAGGGCCAAGGCCCAGCTACACTGTATCAGGAAGTGGACGAGGCCATTCACCAGCTCGTGCGCCTCTCCAACCTGCACGTGCAGCATCAAGAGCAGCGGCAGTGCCTGCGGCGACTCCAGCAGGTGAGCCAGGACTCCTATGTCCCTCTTACTCGGCCTGGGAGTATGGCCTCCAGCACCTTTCCCGTTGGTACTTATAGTTGATGGTGTTCTTCTAGCCTGGCTTGGTTGAATGCCCCTCCCTGTCTCCTCACCTTTGTTGGTCAGTGTGAGATTCAACAAGAGGGTGGGAGCATCGTAGCACCAGTAAAGAAAAGCCAGGTCTCCCCCTCCCCACTGTTTATGCTTGATCGAAGATGCTGAGAGATTGTGAGAGATGCTCAGCTGCCCTAGGGGCTTCTGAAAAGAGCTGATCAACTCTGGAGTGCCTACCTTCTTAGCTGAAAAATAATAAAAGTCTATTGATACCAGTTCATTAGTTACACTGCCACACATGCACCCTTAACTCCTTATGTGATGTCATCCCTCAGACCTGAAGTCGGAAAGGTACCACCTCCCTCCACCTTGGAAGGAGAGAGCATTGAAAGCACCTAAGAGGAACTACAGGCTTCTTTGTGGGGAAGATTCAGGAATAAGGCTGGCTTCTCTGAACCTTGATTCTTCTCTCCTGGGGTTAAGAGCCCCATAGGGATTTGCTCTCCACCACACCATGTAAGGTAGAGGGAGCTTTGAAATCTGATTGTTCCTCCTTAGCCCCGAGCATGGTGAGTGGACACTTTATGGACCTGCAGGTGGGCATCAGAGGAAAGGTCATCTCAGGGCCAGTGCTAAAGCGGGAGCCGAGACTTTCTGTTTCCTAGGATTTCTTCGTATTGGCTTCCTCTAAGCCAATATCCTAGAGATGGGTTGCATCTCCTGTTTGCTTACCTGCTTATTAGCTGTTTCCCCAACTGGTTAAAAACAAGATTTGGAATCTAAAGTGCTCAGCTTGAGTTCTAGTTCTGCCATGTGTAAGATGTTGGACAAGTCATGAAGCTTCTCTGAGTTCCCAAGTCCTCATCTGTAGAATTGGGATAGTAACAATTAACTCACAACGTGGTTAGAAAGATCAAATGAATTCAGCAAAGGACTATAAAAGTGATTATTGTTGGCACTGGCTATTAGGAACAGTCTCAGACTTCTCATCCTCAGGCTGTCCCACCCCTAGCTTCCAGCCTTTCTTCAGAGGAAAATATTATCATCACTTTTTGGTCAAGTATCTCAGAACCAGCATGAGAGTTTGTATAGCCCCATAATAGGCAATTAAAGCTGGACACATACACACACACCCCTTCTGTGCTGTTTCTCCAGGCTTGTTCCCTGCGACCCTTGCCCACCAGTTGCCAAGGCTTAGTGAAAGCCGTCAGTCATCCATATGACCCTCATCCTGCCTTTGGTTCACCCCAGTTTGATGTACTTCACACTCGGGCATAGCTCTGGAACTTTGACCCACCTCCCTCAGTACTTTCCACCAGCCCAGCTTCCCACTCATCTGGCACCTTACTGAAGATTTCTTACTCGGTTTTTCACTTGACCCTTGTGGAAACTATTACCATTCACTGTTGTCATTCCCACATTGCAGATGAGATGCAATAGTTCACTCAAGGTTCTACAGATTGGTGTGGTGGGGCTGATGCTGGATCTCAGCCCTTCCTTGCCTTTCCACTCCATGACCCCCTACTCTGCCACTCCATCTGCCTTAGGTGTTGCAGTGGCTCTCGGGCCCAGGGGAGGAACAGCTGGCAAGCTTTGCTGTGCCCGGGGACACCTTGTCTGCCCTGCAGGAGACAGAGCTGCGATTCCGGGCTTTCAGCGCTGAGGTCCAGGTGAGAAAGGGCAGGAGGGCAGGTGAGAGGAGGCAGGGAGAGACTACCTAGGAGTGAGGACCAGGTCTGAGAGCAGCCTCCCTTCTCCAGGAGCGCCTGGCCCAGGCACGGGAGGCCCTGGCTCTGGAGGAGAATGCCACCTCCCAGAAGGTGCTGGATATCTTTGAACAGCGGCTGGAACAGGTTGAGAGTGGCCTCCATCGGGCCCTGCGGCTACAGCGCTTCTTCCAGCAGGTACATGCAGAGCCTTTTCCTTTTGTTCCCCCCATTTCCATTTCTTTACTTCCTTTCTGCCTGGAGAGGCTAATCAAGTTGTTAAAAGCAGAGGCTGAGGAGCCCATCTGCTTGGTTTTGACTCTTAGCTCTGCCACCTGCTTGCTGAATGACCTGGGACAAGATACTAAACCTGACTGTGCCTCCATAGATCTACCTCACAGGGCTGCTGTGGGGATTACATGAGGCAATAAATATATAAAAGCCGTTAGCCCAGAGCCTGCCACTCATAAACGCCATATGAGTACTGGTTATTCTTTTATATAGGCTCTTCCATCTCCATACCAACTCCAAGTGACATGGTTAGGCAGTGATGCTGGAACAGTGAGAAAACAGGGAGAGTGATGGGCATTGGGAAGCCACAGGCAAGAGGACAAGGGCTGTCGTTGGGCATCCTTTGTGAGCAACACAGGCCCTTACCCTTTCTCTCCCATCCCCAACCCCTTTGATTTTGTAGGCACATGAATGGGTGGATGAGGGCTTTGCTCGACTGGCAGGAGCTGGGCCGGGTCGGGAGGCTGTGCTGGCTGCACTGGCCCTGCGGCGGGCCCCAGAGCCCAGTGCCGGCACCTTCCAGGAGATGCGGGCCCTGGCCCTGGACCTGGGCAACCCAGCAGCCCTGCGAGAATGGGGCCGCTGCCGGGCCCGCTGCCAAGAGCTGGAGAGGAGGATTCAGCAACACCTGGGAGAGGAGGCGAGCCCACGGGGCTACCGACGACGGCGGGCAGACAGTGCCAGCAGTGGAGGGGCCCAGTGGGGCCCCCACAGCCCCTCACCCAGCCTCAGCTCCTTGCTGCTCCCCAGCAGCCCTGGGCCACGGGCAGCCCCATCCCATTGCTCCTTGGCCCCATGTGGAGAGGACTATGAGGAGGAAGGCCCTGAGCTGGCTCCAGAAGCAGAGGGCAGGCCCCCACGGGCTGTGCTGATTCGAGGCCTGGAGGTCACCAGCACTGAGGTGGTAGACAGGACGTGCTCACCGCGGGAACACGTGCTGCTGGGCCGGGCTGGGGGGCCAGACGGACCCTGGGGAGTAGGCACCCCCCGGATGGAGCGCAAGCGGAGCATCAGGTGAGATCCCAGCCCAACTGGTGCCCAAGAGGCAGACCCAACTGCCCAGTAGGAAAAGAAGGTGATATTGTTGGGGGTAGTGGCTGCCTCCCACACCTCCTCTGCCACTCCTGTTGTGCCTGCAGTGCCCAGCAGCGTCTGGTGTCTGAGCTGATTGCCTGTGAACAAGATTATGTGGCCACCTTGAGTGAACCAGTGCCACCCCCTGGGCCTGAGCTGACTCCTGAACTTCGGGGCACTTGGGCTGCTGCCCTGAGTGCCCGGGAAAGGCTTCGCAGCTTCCACCGGACACACTTTCTGCGGGAGCTTCAGGGCTGCGCCACCCACCCCCTACGCATTGGGGCCTGCTTCCTTCGCCATGTGAGTGATCCCCTCAACTTCTTCCAAGTGCTCTCTCTTCTCTGTTCCAGCCTCATCCATCTGTCCCTCTTTCTCAGTACCCACAGCCCTCTCCTCCCATGTATGGTCCATGCCATTGGGGCCCAGCCCTGTTCTCTGGGCACCTCTGCCTCTACTCAGCCTCTGCGTCCCTGCTCTCAAGGACTGCCTGGACTATGCTCTCTCCACAGGGAGCCCTTCCCTCCCTGGCAGGCAGAGTGCTCCCTGGTGACCCATCCCTCATTTGGGCTACAGAGAGGATGGAGAGGGGGAAGAGAGAGGTTTGTCTGCACAGACCTCGCTGGAGACACCTTATCTGTTCTTTACTGGCACAGGGGGACCAGTTCAGCCTTTATGCACAGTACGTGAAGCACCGACACAAACTGGAGAATGGTCTGGCTGTGCTCAGTCCCTCAAGCAAGGTAACTTTTTCTCCAATCTTCAGAAGAAAAGTAGAGGGGCCAGGAAGACCTAAAAACCCACCCCAAAAATCCCACAGGGAAAAAAAGCTTTCCTGGATGTGCCCAGGAACATCACCTACCAGTCATCTCCTAGAATTGCCGAGGGTGGGACAAGCACTGGACTGGTGAGGCCAGGTTCTTATCCAGTCCACCTGAGGGACCGGGCAGGACTCCTGATTCATCTGGGCCTCCATTTCCACATCTGGTAAATGGTGGCAATAGTCACTATAGCCAGCTCACAGGGAGGATCTGAGCAGCAGAAGAGCTCACATCAAAAGACATACAAGTGACTTTATTTTTTTTTATTATTTTTTATTTTTTGAGATGGAGTCTCGCTCTGTCGCCCAGGCTGGAGTGCAGTGGCCGGATCTCAGCTCACTGCAAGCTCCACCTCCCGGGTTCACGCCATTCTCCTGCCTCAGCCTCCCGAGTAGCTGGGATTACAGGCGCCCGCCACCTTGTCCGGCTAGTTTTTGTATTTTTTAGTAGAGATAGGGTTTCACCGTGTTAGCCAGGATGGTCTCGATCTCCTGACCTTGTGATCCGCCCAACTCGGCCTCCCAAAGTGCTGGGATTACAGGCTTGAGCCACCGCGCCCGGCCACAAGTGACTTTAAAAGTTCAAAGCCAGTGGCCTGGCATGGTGGCTCACGCCTGTAATCCCAGCACTTTGGGAGGCCAAGGCGGGCGGATCATGAGGTCAGGAGATCGAGACCATCCTGGCCAACATAGTGAAACCCCGTCTCTACTAGAAATACAAAAAAAAAAATTAGCCAGGCGTAGTGGCGGGCATCTGTAGTCCCAGCTACTCAGGAGGCTGAGCCAGGAGAATGGCATGAACCTGGGAGGCAGAGCTTGCAGTGAGCCGAGATCGCACCACTGCACTCCAGCCTGGGCGATAGAGCAACACTCCATCTCAGGAAGAAAAAAAAAAAAAAAAGTTCAAAGCCAGAGAGTACAGGAGATTACTATTTTGATTCTTGTTCCACTTCCCTTCAAGATATAGATGATGATTGCTGGCCTGCAGGCCGCCACCTGCTTTCTTTCCAGGTGGAAGGGTTTTACCTTACTTTAGGGAGCATCTGGGCTTCATCTATACCCAAAAGCCTAGGGTATCACCCACCTACCCCCCAACCCCTGAGCTTGGCCCCTAGAGGCTCCAGCCCTCCCCTCATCCCTGTCTGTGTCCTCCTCAACCTAGGGCTCCATGGAGGCTGGACCTTACCTGCCCCGAGCCCTGCAACAGCCTCTGGAACAGCTGGCTCGGTATGGGCGGCTCCTGGAGGAGCTCCTGAGGGAAGCTGGGCCTGAGCTGAGTTCTGAGCGCCAGGCCCTTGGGGCTGCTGTACAGCTGCTTCGGGAACAAGAGGCCCGTGGCAGAGACCTGCTGGCTGTGGAGGCGGTGCGTGGCTGTGAGGTGAGGCCCTGGCTCCAGTCACTGCTGCTCAAACGGCCCAGCCCTGGCCTCAGAAGCCTTGTAGGTTGGTGACAGGAGAACCAGGCTCCAGGTCAGAGGGCCCCAGGCTTTAATTTCTAACCAGCTGGGTGGCCTTGATTGAGTCACTGAACTTCACTGGGCCTCACTTTCCTCCTTTGTAAATAAAGAAGCTATGTCCTCCCAACATCCCATGTTCCTACATCCGCCTTGTACTCTCCCGTTCCTTTCCTAATTGTTATCTTTCCCCACCTACCCTATACTTCCTCCTGCACCTCAACACCCAGCACATACCTTATCTCGTCTACCTAGTCTTTTTCCAGCCCTGAGGTTCCAAAACATGTTGGAATCCTATATCCTCCTCTGGAATAGACCTATTTCCCTTTCAGTTCTTTGCTGATTCTCTTCCTGGATCCCCAGCATGCAAAGGCTTCCCCACAGGCGGCTATAAACCTTACTATGCAGTGCACCTTGCCATCTTCAGAAACAGGGCTGTGCTGCTCAGCTGGGTGTGCTGTGCATGGTGACCAGTGGATGGACTCTAGGCTGAGGGCTTCCCTGACTTCCTCACCCTGCCTGAGAACCAGTGCGTTAGGCCCCTTGCCCTATAAATCTATTTTTGCTCCCTATAAAATACAAAGGGCCCCTGGGCCAACCACTTTTGCTTTTCCTTTCTCCAGATAGATCTGAAGGAGCAGGGACAGCTCTTGCATCGAGACCCCTTCACTGTCATCTGTGGCCGAAAGAAGTGCCTTCGCCATGTCTTTCTCTTTGAGCATCTCCTCCTGTTCAGCAAGCTCAAGGGCCCTGAAGGAGGGTCAGAGATGTTTGTTTACAAGCAGGCCTTTAAGGTACAATTCCTGGAGTGAGTGGTGGAGGTGACAGGAAGTCATTCTCTTCTTGAGAACTCAGGATGTTCTGGAAATTCAACCCCAACACAGGTTGAGAATCTGCATCATCTAGAATAGGCTTTGGCTTGTAATCAACCATCAAGTTAGGGTGACAGGGGATGTTGGAAGTCCCTGTCACTGGTCTACCTCATGAGGTTTTCCTTATCATTCATGTGGAAGCCTTAGGAGGCATTCCAAACCAGACTGGAAGAGGAACTTTCCCACTAAGGACACACATGCCTTTGGAATTAGGGTTGGTTCCTAGGGCATGAGGAGAAAGCACGCTATACTTTGACTAAAGAATCCAAGAAGAGGCAGGCCTTGCTTTAGGGAAACAGCCTTGATATCCAGATAAGCATTTATAGCAACCTATGGTCCTGGATCAGGCAGTGTGGGGTGGATTCTAAGGGTTTCTAGACTTTGTACCCCCTGCATGAGTATAGCATAGAGGAAAAGGCCTGGGTCCACTTCCAGCTCTAATAAGCTATGAGAAGCCTTTGTGCAAGTTGCTTCATGTTTCTGGCCTCATTTCCCCTTCTGTAAATTATGGTTGTTGTGAAGACTAAATGTAGAGCACTTGGCACATGATAGGTGTTGAGCAAACGTTTACTGAACATCCATCAGATGCCAGGCTAAGCCCAGTGCTTGCCATGTGGCGCCACCCAGCCAGGACTTGCTCTGTCTTCACCCACTGCCCTCTGCTCTTCCGCAGACTGCTGACATGGGGCTGACAGAAAACATCGGGGACAGCGGACTCTGCTTCGAGTTGTGGTTTCGGCGGCGGCGTGCACGAGAGGCATATACTCTGCAGGCAACCTCACCAGAGATCAAACTCAAGTGGACAAGTTCTATTGCCCAGCTGCTGTGGAGACAGGCAGCCCACAACAAGGGTACTGGGCAGAGCTGAGGAACAGGGTGCTTGGAGTCAGGGTTATAGCAGGAAGTTTTCTGGAGAGTATGGGGACTGCTTGGGAAGACAGTTTATAGGATGAAGAAAGAATGGCTTAGAAGAAGATTCAAGATTTGGCTTGAGAGAAATTACTGAGGTAGAAATAAGCCTAAGATATACCAAAAAGAAAGAGAAAGCTGGCAAATTTCAGGGAAGCAAGAGCAAGTAGGGGTCAGGTGCAGTGACTCACGCCTATAATCCCAGTGCATTTTGAGAGAGCAAAGTGGGAGGATTGCTTGAGGCCAGGTGTTCAAGACCAGCCTGGGGACATAGTGAGACCCCATTTCTACAAAAAAGTTTAAAATTAACTGGGCATGGTGGTGTGCACCTATAGTCCTAGCTATTTGAAGAGTGAGGTAGGAGGATCACTTGAGCCCAAATGTTCAAGGCTACAATGAGCTATGATGGTGCCACTGCACTTGAGCCTGAGTGACAGAGCAAGACTCTGTCTTTAAAGGATTTTAAAAAATTTTTTTTAATAAAGCAAATGACTGGAAAAAGAAGGTGAGAAACCACTCACTTGGATTTAAGAACTGCTGCTACTTGCTGTGTAACCTGGACTAGTTTTGTTTTTTGTTAGTTTTGTTTTTATTTTTGACTTTTTGCTGGGTTTTACCTTGGTTTTAATTTTCTGAAATTCATTCTGCTCATCTGAAAAATGAAATAGTAATATCTTCATCTTAGTGTAATAGGGATGATTAAGTAAGGTGAAATATATGGAAGCACCTTGTAAACTGTAAAAGTATGTAAAAATGTGAGGGTTTTTTTGTTTTGTTTTGCTTTTTTTTTTTGCTCTTAATACCCAAGATGCAGAGTAGAAATCAGGCAGCTGGGATGCCAAATGGGCAGGATGCAACATACTGGAGAGAAGAGCCAGATATCTGAGGAGGAAGTCACACCATCATTGCCATCCATGTTGTGATAGTCAACAGGAGGAGTAAAAAGAGACACGAGAGGAATGAAAGGGAGGAATGAGGGTTGGAAAGGAGCAAAACAAAAACAAAAACAAAAACAAACCAAAAAAGTAAACCATGACGTGCTAGGGCTAGAGAGAAGGGCAGGAAGAAGTTGGTAACAAGTGTCCCTATTCCCCAGAGCTCCGAGTGCAGCAGATGGTGTCCATGGGCATTGGGAATAAACCCTTCCTGGACATCAAAGCCCTTGGGGAGCGGACGCTGAGTGCCCTGCTCACTGGAAGAGGTGAGGGCCATGGTGCTGGGGGGTGGCCCCCAGGAGTGAAGACCTTGACAATGAGGATACAAAGGGGTGGTGTGGTGGAAAGTCAGGAAGGGCATCTCGTTCCCAAATCAGTGGGACTGGCTGGGAGGCCCTCTGTGAGACTGAGGGTCATTCCAGGGAGCCAAGAGGGCTTTCCCACACCAGCACCCCACCCCCCACTCCCCACTCTCTGCAGCCGCCCGCACCCGGGCCTCCGTGGCCGTGTCATCCTTTGAGCATGCCGGCCCCTCCCTTCCCGGCCTTTCGCCGGGAGCCTGCTCCCTGCCTGCCCGCGTCGAGGAGGAGGCCTGGGATCTGGACGTCAAGCAAATTTCCCTGGGTGAGGCACCTCTGAAGGGGTGGCTCCCAACAGCTCGGTCATGGTGGTGATGTTCAGGCTGCTTGCTGCTGAGCAATTCCTTTTTCTAGCCAAGTAGCCCAGTTGCCATGACAACTATGTACAGCTTCCCCACTGCTAAAAGAACCTTCCGTCTGGTTGCTAGGGTGATGCTTACAACAGCCTGTTGCTAAGAAGCACTTCCTCTGTACCTCTCTCTCTAGCTCTCCTTGGGTTTCTATGGAAACTGCCTCAGCTTCCTGTTGTACCCTCTTGTTTCACCACGGCAATCCTTATAGTTTCCTGTCGCTTCTTCCCTGGTTGCTCTAATGATGCTGCTGACAATTTCCTGCCTCTTGGTAGGGGGTTCCCTTGCAACTGGATCGCTATGGTGACTTACAGCTTCCTGTTGCTATGGAGCTTTTTCTTCCCTGATGGAGCAGCTTGGTTGCTTAAGGTAATCTGGAGGGATTCTATACTCTGCTCTCACCCTAGCTTCCCCTTCAGCCCCAGAAACACTTGACTCCTCTGGAGATGTGTCCCCAGGACCAAGAAACAGCCCCAGCCTGCAACCCCCCAACCCTGGGAGCAGCACTCCCACCCTGGCCAGTCGAGGGATCTTAGGGCTATCCCGGCAGGTAAGTTCCTACAATGAGGCTGGGAACGAGGTGATCTCTTTGGCTGCTTTCTGGGTGGGCTTTTCTGATCTTTCAACCCCAGGGGGGTTGGGGGAAAACTGTGAACCTGTGCTCCTAGCTGAGGCTACAGACTGGATTTATTATCTTGTCTACCTTTCTCCTCTCCCCGGGACCTGGCTAAGAGGCATCAAGGTCACAGGTTAAAAGGAATCTTAAATAAGGAGTATAGTGCTGGGGTGGATGGAAAGGGGAGAATGACAGTGGCCTGGCTTGAACTTGGGTTAAAATGGCAAAACTCAGGCCAGGTGAGGTGGCTCATACCTGTAATCCCAGACTTTCAGAGGCTCAGCTGAGAGGATCACTTGAGCCTAGGAGTTCAAGACCAGCCTGGGCAACATAGTGAGACCCAATCTCTACAAAAAAAGAAAAAAAAGTTTTAATTAGCTGAACTTTTGAGGGGTGCACACCTATAGTCCCAGCTACTCAGGAGGCTGAAGCAGGAGGATCTCGTGAGCCCAGGAGGTTGAGACTTCAGTGAGCCACATTTGTGCAACTGCACTCCAACCTGGGCAACAGTGAGCACCTGTCTCTAAAAAAATAAAAGTAAATAGCAAAATTCAAGGACTTTGGGTAGGAAAGAGAGATGAACTGACAGGCTTGTGGGGAGGGATGGAGGGAAAGAAAGCGAGAGAAAGACAAGAAATATGTCCCTAAATTCACTGTAGTTTCTCTCCCCCCAGAGCCATGCTCGAGCCCTGAGTGACCCCACCACGCCTCTGTGACCTGGGTGAGTCAGCATCCCCAATTTCTTCCACATCCAACACTCCTTCCGTCTTGCATGTACCTTCCTTCCTGTCCCCAGCTACTCGGGAGTCTGCTTCTTCCCTCTCCCAACTCATCTCCCTCTTCTCTCCTGGCTTCTAGAGAAGATCCAGAACTTGCCTGCAGCTTCTCCTCTCAGCACACTTTGGGCTGGGATGGCAGTGGGGCATAATGGAGCACTGGGCGATCACTGAATTTCTTCCCTCTGCTTCCTGGACACAGAGGAGGTCTAAGGACCAGAGTATTGCCCTGCCACCACTATCTCTAGTCCCCCTAGCTTGGTGCCTTCTCCTGCAGGAGCCAGAGCAGCCACATTGCTTGCCTTCATACCCTGGAGGTGGGGAAGTTATCCCTCTTCCAGTGCTTTCCCATCCTGGGCCACTGTATCCAGGACATCACTCCCATGCCAGCCCTCCCTGGCAGCCCATGTTCTCCTCTTTTCTCACCCCTTGACTTTCCCTGAGAAGAATCATCTGTGCCAGGTCAACCGGAGTTCCCGGTGACTCCATTCTGAGGTGTCACAAGAAATGAAGCTATGCAAACTATAATAGGAGGGTGCAACAGGGAACTGTAGACTTTATATATGTAATTACTGTTATTATAATACTATTGTTATATTAAATGTATTTACTCACACTTTGCCTCCAAGGAGCTAGAGTAGTCCTCTGGATTAAGGTGATAAATAACTTGGGCACTTTCCCTCAACCAGCCCTTAACTAGAACACAGAAAATAAAACCAAGACTGGAAGGTCCCCTGTACCCTTCCCAGGCCCAGAGCTGACTGTGTGTGAGCCTGGGAGAATGTGTCTCCTCCACAGTGGCTCCCAGAGGCTCCAGACACTCTCTGAAGCTCCTTCTCCCACACTGCACCTACTCCTTGAGGCTGACCTGGTCACACACAAACTGGGATGCAGCACAGTCCAGCAGTTCTCAAAATGAGGCCCTCAGGCCACAGTGTGTGAGAACTTGATTGGCTATTTGTTAAATGCTGATTCTCGGACCCCATCAGAGCTGCTGCATTGAAACCTGGGGGTGAAACCTAATATTCCACATTTCTTATCAAACTCTTTGGGTGATAACTAAATGTCTGAAGAGGTGACTATTTCCTGACAGAAGGGCCCAAAGAGAGGAGCAGGACATAGGTAGGCAGACAGACACAGGGCCCTGTGCCTCACGACACCTGTTTATTGGGGACACGACTCTGCAACAGGGATGACAGGAATCGTACCAAAAATAGCGACGTCTACAGAGCCCCCGATGGGGCTAGAAGGGTACAGTGCTCCCCACCCTCACCCCTTGTACAAAAATAAACTCTCACGCCTATGGACCAGCAAAGACTGGCAGAGTGGCTCCTCAACAGGGACACAAACCCTCTCTGCCAGCCCAGGGACCCCGTTCTTTGACCCTCACCTCTGCCACTTCTAAGGCACTGTGACTCCCTTGGGCTGGGTGGGTACCGCCAGCCCACCCTCCTACGCCCGCCGCCCCTTCCACCTCTGGTCCGCCTGGGGCTGGGATATGGGTCCCACGCTGCCCCCTGCTGGCTTCTCTACCCAACTACCTCTAGCGCTCCCCCGCTCCGGCGGGGTAAGCTCACTAAGCTAATCGCCCCTGAGGGCTCACTACCGTTCTTGCCCCCCTAGCCCTGCCTCTCCGGGTCTGGACAGCCCGGAGCCCTCCTCCCCTTCCTGCGAAGGACTGGGAGGGGTCTCTCCTGATGGTACTCGGGCATAGGGCGAGGACGCGTCAGCCTGGGGTGGCCGGCGGCCCCTAGCCCGGCGGCTGTGGTGCACTTGAAGGTGCAAGGCCATGAGCTCTGGGGCTCCAGTGGCGAAAGGGCAGAAGAGGCAGCGGTGGAGGGCACCCCCCGGCCCGGCCTCGCCTCCCGGCCCTGCCCGCAAGGACAGGTCCAGGGGTTCGGCCTCACCACCTCGCCCGTTGCGCAGGGTCCTCCCAGGGCTGGCGGGCTTCCGACGGGACCCCGGCCCAGCACCGCTAGAAGGAGGCCGGGGGCTTGAGGCACCCTCCACCCAGGTCGCAGGCTGTGGAGACGGCTTGGCTCCAGATTGCGGGGCTGAACCCCGCTGGGAAGGAGGCGGTGGTTCCGGGGGTGGCCCGGGGCCGGCCCCGCTCCTCTGCTCCCGGTGGTGGCGCTGTAGATGATACTTGAGCGAGCCGGACTGGGTGCCCGCGTAGTCACAGTGCGGACACTTGTACGGCCGCTCGCCTGGAGAAAGTGGGTGCAAAAGGGTTATGGGGTCACGATCACTGCACGCACCCACCCGAATTTCGCCCAATTTAGAGACCTCATTCTCAGAACCAAGAAAGGGCACTGCGTCTCCCACCCACTTTGATTTAATAAAGGAGCATTTCCCAAGTGATCTCATCCAGCCAAACTGAAGGCTTCGGAACAAACTTCACCTCCCGGTGTTTCGGTAGCCCTCGCCTTTCTGCCCGTCCCCCAGTCCCCTCTCCACGCCGGAAGCTGCCTCCCTCACCTGTGTGCACTCGCAGATGCACTTTGAGGTGATGTGCTGAGCGGAAAGATTTTCCGCAGAAGGGACAATCCTTGCCGGTGGCGCCCCGGCCCCCTTCAGGCCGGGTCCCTCCAACCAACAGCCCATTCTCTTCTGCAACACATATATTAAGAGGAAGTCAGCGGGGGCCTACACTCTGTCCAGGTCCCGTGCACCCACCCCACACCCACCCCACACCCACCCCATAGGGCTGCTTCCCCTCGGAGTCCAGAAGGAAACAAAAGTCTGAGGGGTTAGATTTGTTGTGACGAAAGAGTCAAGTGTTCTCAAATGATGGCAAAGCCTCCAGAAAAAAACAAAACAAAACAAAAAAACTCAGAAGAAATAAAAGATAAGTTATTTTAAAAAGGAAGCTATGGGGGAGTGGCGGCGTAAGAGTCAGAGGAGGACGCGGCGTACCCGGAGAGCGGAGGGTCCCTACATACCCTGCGTGGTGGTCGATCTTGCCGGGGCCCCAGCAGAAGGGGCAGAGTGCCCCGGTCCCTCACCCGGGCGCGGATGCAGGGAAGCCAGAGGGCCCAGCGACCTGCCCCGGGCCCAGGTCTCCTCCTCGGCCTCCACCACCTCCTCTTCTTCCTCCGGCTCCTCCGCACGGTGCCGGCGAGCCCGGGCCGGGAGAGCAGAGGACAGCGGGCGGAAGCCTCCGAAGCTGCGGCCGGGCCCGGGCTCAGCACCCTCGCCGTTGGGCCGGCCCTCGCCAGCCCGCAGGCTCAGGTAGCCCAAGAGGCTCGGGGGCTCACGGCGCTCGGCCGGGGTGGGCGCCGGGGCCAAGAGGAGCGCTGGGCCCAACGGCTCATAGGCCAGCAGGCCGAGGTCAGGAGGCTGCGGGGCCCGGGCAGGCCCGGAGCCAGGCCCCGGGGCACGCAGTGGGCCCAGCTTGCTGGCGTGCACCTTCATGTGGTTCTTAAGGAACCAGGGCTCCTTGAAGCAGCGGCCGCACACCGGACACGCATGATCGAAGGAGGCCTTGTGCTTACGCATGTGGCCCTTGAGAAACCAAGACTGTGTAAAGCTCTGGCCGCACACTTGGCAGCGGAACTCCGGAGGTGCTGGGGGCTCCTCGGGAGCGACAGGAGCTGGGGTCGGGGTTGCCTCACGTTCGGGCTCGGGCTCCGGCTCCGGGACTGATCTAGTTTCGGGCTGGGGTGGAGGCTGAGGCTGAGGCTGAGGCTGAGGCTGAGGCTGAGGCTGAGGCGCAGCGGTGGTGGCCGCCAGGGGGCGCTCGGGAGCCCCGTGGGCCGTCAGGCTGTGGTGCAGCAGCTCCTCCTCCTGGCTGGAGCCGAAACTGCACAGGCCGCACTTCCAGGGCCTGTGCAGGATGTGCAGGTGGCGTTCGCGCTCCGCCGAGGTGCGAAACTTGCCTTTGCAGTAGGGGCAACGGAAGGCGGACGATGAAGGAGCCTGGGGCCGCGCCAAGCCCTCAGTGGCAGCGGTGGCCTGCATGCCCCCTGAGCTTCGGGCTCTCCCCAGTCGAGCCTCGCGTAGTAGCGCGCGCTCTTCCAACTCCAGCAACAGGCGTGCAGCAGGACTACGTGGGCGCTCGGGCTGGTGTGTGCGCAGGTGCGAGCGCAGCAGAGCCCGCTGCGCCGCGCGGTGGCCGCAGTGTGGGCACTGGAAGGCCTGGGCGCCTGGGTGCGCCCGCAGGTGCAAAGCCAGGATAGAGTTGAAGCGGAAGCGCTTCCCGCATACAGGGCAGGGGAAGCGCCGTTCGCCTACACGACTCTCAGACCAGCTCACCGCTCCCATCCCGGGCGACCCTGCACTCACGGCTGGCCCGTTGGAGTATCGCTGCAAATCCAGCTCGCCGTCGAAAGCCGGTGGCGACGGCGCTAAGTGGCCGCTCGGGGCGCGGGGACGTGAGCCCTGTGGAGAAAGATCTGCGTAGAGCAAAGGGTGAAGGTAGAGCTGTAAAGGAAGAAAGGGCGTCACCTCGAGGGCCAGGACAACATGAGGGAAGGTGGACTGGGGCCTGAACTAGGAACACACGTGCTACTCACCTTGGGAAGTTGGGGGTGGGGTGTATGGGAATCGAGATGTCAGGACCAAGGAGTTAACTTCTAATAATGGGAGGTCAAAGAGAGAGAGAGGTAGGCAGGAGAAGGAGTATACAGTTGTAGGTACTTGTAGGTTGAAGCCAGAGCTTCACTCACCTCCATGGACCCCCTTCACATTCTTTGGTTCTGGGGAGTGCAGGGAAGAGGAGGAAAAGCTGCTAATGAAGGCAACAGGTGCTGTGGAGCTAAAGCAAGAGAGACAGATTTGGAGGAAGAGATGAGCCCTAGTTTTCAGCAGTAAAGTCACTCCTTACCCCCAGACTCTCAGCACTCTGTATTCCCAAAACCAATCCCTTCTCCCTACTTGCATCTTGAGGCACGAAGGGGCTGCTGTACTCAAAAACTGTACCTCTTGATTTGCCAAGCCTACAAGCCTCCCAAATAATCCAGATTTCTTCCCGAAATTCTACATTTTAAATGCATGGTCCAGAACAACCACAACTACCACCCCACCCCCTGGCGGTGGGGAAGACCATCACAGTATGCCCCTCTCCCATGTAGGTTGGGCTATGCAGTGTGGTGAGCAAATGGGGTGGGCTTGCCATGCTCCCCAGTTATCCAAATGGGATCAGTTGCTCTGAGACCCCTAACTGACCAGCCAGCCAAACATCCTTCCAGGTTCCACAGTGCTTCCTTCTGCCCTTACCCTGTCTTTCTGTCTTTCCCCCCTCATTCTCCCTCCCTCCGCCTGGATTCCTGATCCATTCATTTCCATTCATTACAGAGACTCATTCATGCATGGGAGAGAAACACCTCCCAGCAGCAGAGTCTGAAGACAGACAGAGGGGGAGGGGCATGAGGGGGAGGGAGCCAGAGGGAGAGGGAATGAAGAGAGAGTTGGGGGAGGAGTGGAAGTTAAGGGGCACAGCTAGCCTGGGGAAGGGGCTAAAAACTGCAAATACCGTATAGGATTCATCCCCTTGTTTCAAACCTTGGAGCCTGCAGTATGATGGGGCATCTGAGCCCCTTTGTCCAGGGCTGTTCCGAGGCAGGCTTTCCTCCTCTCTGCAGGGGAGAGGCTCCCTCACACAAGAGGAGGATTACACTGGCTCT